GGACCATCGTGGCAGGCATGTGAGAAAGACAAACATTTTCCGAAATGAATGTCCGCGACAGTGCAACCAGCAATTGTTTCTGCAACACCTCCGAAACTGTACAAGGGATGTCCACTGCGGGCGGCAGAACATACCCGAATCCAGTAGATTTTTCAGGATGACTAGCGATCTTCTCCTTGTCCAGCACAGCCAAAAAAAGGCACAGCAGAAACACGACACCCGCCATTCTCCCAGTCCAGCACAACAGTATCCACGCTGTTCCCGGAGCAAGAACCACGCCAGGACAGCAGCAAGAACCAGCAGGGAGGCAGCAGCGTAGCAACCCTCCAGGTTTCTCCGCAGTATCTCAGATCAGGCCTTCGCACCCATAGAAGCAGAAACAGGCAGGAGCAGGCCTTCACACCGGAACCAAGACAGGTGGATGGCACCAGAGCAGGCCTCCGATCCAGCAGAACACGGGCCCTCCTCCGTGACAATCCTCCTCCGCTCCCAGCACACGACAAGCGAACACGAGCCCTCACAACGCCTCCACAAACCGCCTCCACAAACCTCCGGTCGAAGCAGCGACGAGCGAGAGAGAGCAGCGACGAGCGAGCAGGCAGCGACGAGCGAGCAGGCAGCGACGAGCGAGCAGGCAGCGACGAGCGAGCAGGGCAGCGACGAGCGAGCAGGGCAGCGACGAGCGAGCAGGCAGCGACGAGCGATGTGTCTCCCATCACCCAAAACCCCTGACTATTCTCTCAACTCAGTATTTACATTCTTTAATTCAAAGAAAATCAGTAATATATTTAAAAACTACAAGTCCCTTTCTATAAGCTGTGCACTGTTATGGTGTAAATATTACCTATCTACCAATTAGATCAAATATAAAAGTCAGCCGAATTAGTGTTGATACTGCAAGGAGACGAGATCGCGGATACAAGCGGCCGAGATGGGTTTTCTCCGCAGGGTGGCTGGTGTCTCCCTTAGGGATAAGGTGAGAAGTTCGGTCATCAGGGAGGGACTCGGAGTTGAGCCGCTCCTCCTTCGCGTCGAAAGGAGCCAGTTGAGGTGGTTCGGGCACCTAGTTAGGATGCCACCTGGGCGCCTCCCTAGGGAGGTGTTCCAGGCACGTCCAGCTGGGAAGAGACCAAGGGGTAGACCTAGGACCAGGTGGAGGGATTATATCTCTTCGCTGGCCTGGGAGCGCCTTGGGATCCCCCAGTCAGAGCTGGTTGATGTCGCCAGGGAAAAGAAAGTTTGGGGCTCTCTGCTGGAACTGCTACCCCCGCGACCCGACCACGGATAAGCGGGAGAAGATGGACTGCAAGGAGACGTATTGTGCGAAGAGAAATTGAAGATGTTGTTTAATTACTGATATATTTATGATCCACGTCACATATTCAGTTTTGGCGGCATTTCTTCCAGTTTGTCTAGAAGTCTTCTAATCAGGGCTCTATAAATAGAGAACTACGGCAGATGTGTAATACTTAATGCAGCCGAACCGTGTATTACAATGCCGTTATGTGATGACTTCCAAAGAGAAAAGCAAGCACACTCGGAATAAAGTATTGTTATTTTTTTTATTTTGTATGTTTTCGGATTTCACATCGCATAAACACCATATCCCAACGTGCATTGCTGCTAAAACATCCAATCACTGAGCTTCAACGATAGCTGAGGATTATGGGTAGTTCGAAAACCTCTGAAAAAAGAAATGGGTCTCTTGGAATCGAAAGGGAAACATCTATGGGAAAAACACAAAATCAGTGTACACAATTTAAACCAATTAATGTTGTGTAACTAACAAGGATAAACTGATGTGTTTTAGTGGATGAGTACTGCAGATATCACTGTGAAATCATTTGTCAGTGAGGGGAATACGGTTTTATTATGAAAACTTCGAGACTGGAAATACTGTTTTCACCCTGTGAGGGTTGACGCTAACTTTACATAGGGGGAAAGACATACACGTTCTCCTGGCGAGACCTCAAATAATCTTCGTAATATCTATCAAACTATAGATCCTACACATCCACTGGACGTGTATTCTAAAAGTACAATATGCACTTCTCGCTAGAAATCTAATCAAAAAGCATTTTAATGGCCAAAATATTCTACAATTTAGGATTTTCCAGAGAGGGTTATTTGTGAATATACGACCCTGCGGAGCGTTTGCAATTGCCGCAAATTGTTGTTTATTACACGACCACTAGAGGTGCTAAACTTTAAAACGTGACTATAGGTCGTAATAAGCTGCTGAACAATCAACCTATTTGGTCGTATGAGTTGGAGGACTTGTTGCTCTATTAATACTCTTTATTTTCTTCACTGTATTTAGAAGCAATACATTCAGTATGTGCACCGCTTGTCTAATATTGTATGCCTTGTCACTTTTATACTGTGTTGTGACAGTTGAGGTTGGTGGCCTTGTGAGGTCAGTTGAGGAATAAGGGCCCTGTGGGGACATCCGTTATAGTGATCAACAGCCATTCTGACAGATAACTATAATGATACACCAATATTACTCCATAGCAACACACACACTCACTCTTTTCTCACACAAAGGCTCAATTAAGTCTTTGTGAACATGGTTTAAGGCGATTTGTTGCATGCATTTGACTTAGAGTTCACAACACTCATGCTACAGTGGGGCAAACCACTAGACTCGAGGGCCAGTGACTTCCCGTGTGCACTCACAACAATTTCCAATTAAGGATTTGCAAGGCATTACCGTGGTGAGGCCTTTTTGCAGACATCATACGGGTTTCAGGTTACATCAAGATTCAAATCACTTATTGAGCTACAGAGCACACAGATAAAATAGAAACAGAATTATGATCCAAGTCAAAGTTGTGTCTTTGCATTAATCTGGCGCAAACTGTAATTTATAAGGTTGCAATGGCTGTTTTGTACCATAACCCTAATTCTATTCCTTCCTTTCTGCGAAGGAGTTATGCTTCTGCAACAGGACTTCTGGCCCTTTATGAAAAAACAAAAGATAGATAGCTGTTTTAAGTTAATATATATGTGTTACTCTGTAGCTGCCAATATAATCAGGGTCTAATAGCATTGGCGACACTACTTTCGGTTGATGCTCTGTTATTTGGAGTGTGCACCTCGAGTGGTACTGCCATTGTTGTGTGTCATCATAAAACAGCTTTTTATGTAAGATTTTAATAAGAGGTCGAACAAATCTTAAATTTCCAAGTTCCTGTAAAGTAACATTGTTCTCCAGTATGGGTTGAGTCCAAAAACACAAATAATTTCCCATAATTCAGCTCAAAATTGCCCTTTAGACCATTGACGTCTGGCAAATAAAAAAATGTCTTCATTTTCTACAACTTCCTGTTTGATTAGTTCTGTCAATTAATGTATTTTTACTCTTCAAACCAACAAGGGGAAAAAACCCAGATGACATAAAAATTACATCATCATTTGTCAGACTCCGTAAATCAGCCCCAAAGCTACAGGTGACATACAACCGTTTTTACAATAAATACTCCAAGTAACTAGTAAACTGATTTTCATGTGAAAAATATGTAGAATGCCCCTTTAAGGTCATGCTAATGTTAGCAAAGATAGCACGCATTGATTTGTCTTTGCTTTGCAATTGTCTTTTTTACAAGGAGACATAATAATCAATAAGCAAAAATTACTCACTGTTCCATAACAATTGCACATAATATCACATAACTAACTATTGGCCTTACTACATGAGAGGTTATTGAACTTCTTCCAGGAATCACTCTGCTCTGTGTACACTGTTTCTCTTGTATTTTCAGCGTCGTATTGCCAAGGCAGGCAGATATTTCACCTTGAGGAATTTGTCCTTTAGCTTCTGCCAGCTCTGTGCCACTCAGCACTTTTTTCCCCCTAGACTCCAGAAATCATTATCAGCCACTGTGGGGTATTTAAACAGCAGCCAAGTTGGTACTTTGATATTCCTCCTTCTCTCTGACACCCTTAACTCTCCCTGATCTCACTGGGAACAGATCAGCGAGACGGGAAAGATTTGGAGGTAATTCGTCGTCTTAAGGGGTGCACGTGTGTTGCAACGCTACACTGATATCTGAGCATGGTTCATTTGAGTCCAATATGTTCAATTTATAAAACGTTACAAATAATCAAATAATCTGTTCCCTTTACTTTCTCTCTCATCCACCGAGCCAACCCAAATTCCTCTCGAGACGCCAGAAAAAATCAATAATACTGTACATTTTGCAACAGTCAGAACGAGGAAGAGTATCTGTGTTTTCTCAATAAAATAAATGTGTTCTACTGAAATCGCCTTTAACACTTTTGTTGATTTTCCTTATTTAATCATTTTTAACAGTTTTTACAGAGATTGTGTCTTGAGTTCATGTAAGACTTTGACTGTATAAGATTATTCAAAATGTCATCTGGTGAATTTAAAGGTATAACATGTAACATTTCTGCATTCAAATGGCTGAACACAATTAGAAATATCTTTATACCTATACAATTTGGCAAACTTTAGCTAGAAGCTGTTATAAATTGGATCTCATCTAGTTTCAAGCCACATTTTTCCGATAAATGATTTAGATCTGGAATGTTTTCAACTTTACATTTTAAGATCATCTGACTTCTGGATCTAATCATAAAAACAAGCTGACTACGTTTTAGCAATTAGCTCACAGCCCCTGTGTTACTCGGGGAAACACATATGTTGTACTTGAAGGTGCTCTGTTTGTTATGGAAAGGAGGGGAACGCTGTGGATAATTCGGCTCCCCTTTCAAACCTTTCGAACAATGAACACTGAACGAATCTTAACCCCGGAGAAGCTAACTGCAATGACCTTTTGGTGAAGACAACAACTCCCACGAGGCTTCATTACAAAGTAACCAAACTTTGTCGTTGGATATTGTGTAAATCGAGAAACTCCTAGATGCAGTTAAAAAACTAAAATTGTGTGTATAAGGGTATGTGCGCATGAGAACGTTTGTGAATACATTTGAAAATTGAGACATAGATTGACCCCATGCACTCACACACACACTTACCATTCATGCCATTGTAGATGCCCCGATGGTTTGGCGACAGCTCGTCTCCAGCCGGCCTCCTCTGCCCGTCTCTCACCGGGCTGCCGAACTTCACATGGTCGGGGCTCAGACTGTACTGGTGCCTATGAGATTCAGGGCTGCCCCCCTGGACCACGCATCCCTTTTCGTGGTGCTCTGGGGCCCCTAAATGTGCCTGCCTGGGCTCGGGGCTCCCGCAGCCCAAACTGCTGATGCTGCTCCTGTGGTGCCTCTGATAGAGCTCCCCGCTGCCCCCCTGACCCAGGAAGTGCTGCCTCTGGCCCAGGAGCAGGTCAGAGGTGTGGTGCTTGGGGTGCTGCTCCGGACTGCGTCGGCCCACGTTCCGCCCGTATTTTTCCGGGCTGAGGCCCCGCATGACTCGACTGTGGTCAGTCACGGATATGGAGCCGCAGCGGGGGCGACAGAGCTGGGGCAGGGTGTACGGGTACTCCAGGCTGGTACTCCTGTGGCGTCCAACAGGGTGTTCAGGGCTGGACACATCTCTGTCTCCCCCGCCTCCTATTCCACTGATGCTGCTACACCTGGGTTTGTGCACCAGCTCCGGGCTCCCTTTCTCTCCACCGCTCCCAACCCCACCCACCCCTGGAGCCAGGTGAGGCTGCTTGTGGTGAAGGTGATCCGAGCTGTCAGCACTTCCTGCGCTGGAGGTGCTGCTCCCGTCCCCCACGTCTCTCATCAGGAGCCCCTGCCCGGGCACCAGCAGCAGACTACTCTGGCTGTCGATGGAATTGCGGCACCCTCCCATCCCTACACTCCCTCCCCCTATGCTTCCTCCTCCGCCACCGCCACTTCCTCCACCTACCACCCCCTTCTCCTCGTCAAGCAGCAGGCAGAGCTCCTTCAGCTCCAAATTCTCCCGGATGACCTCCTCCTGCCGAAGCTCCAGCTCCTTGAGTTTCTGGAGGTAGAGGGACACCTCTTTGCGCATGATGCTGGCGCTGTAGCGTCCTAAGCGCTGCCACTCCCTGGATACACGCTTGCCTTTCTGGCGGTCATCATCCAGGAAGCAGCACAAGTCCCGCAGCTCGCGGTTGTCCTCCTGCAGCTTCTGGTTAATATCCTGAGGGAATGGGAAGGAAAGCACAATAGACAAATGAGTTTAACTGGCATTAGGGAGCAGATAGAAACCAAATGTGATTTGGATTTGGTATAAAACTAATGAATTTGTTTTCTATTGATTTAACTCTGACTAAATCGCTACAACAATTGTCCAATTTCAATCCATTTCACTGCTCTTTTATAGATTTCAGTACGCTGTATGCAATCATAATGAAATGAAATCCTAATCCACTCTATCTTTTCCCTCAAAAGCACTCCCTCACTATGTGCCATTCAACGTGAAGTAGACTGAGAGATTGGAGAGGGCCTTACATAAAACTGAAAGCAGTGAAATCTCACGGCCCATACATTTCACACCTAGCAACGTTTACTTAAACATCTCCCCTTCACCTCCCCGAGAGCTCCTTCTTTATACCCTTGCTCTCCCGCTCCCTCCCTCTCACACCCTCCAGCTCTTTCCTGTGTAATTAAGCAGCGTGGAAGTGTGGAGAGGTGACGAGGTCTCTGAAAGAAAGGCAAATGATCCCCATGTGTTTCATCTGAGGCTACCTCAGGCTGGGTCTCAGCTTTAACTGCAAATATTGTGGACACTGTTCCACAACCCTCTTATTAGCAGTGCGGAATATTAAGGCAGTACAAAGGTTATGGAAAAGGAGAATGCTTGCATAGACTTTCGAAGCAAATGCCACGTTGTTCTAAAGGCAAATTGTAGTGCGCATGCTGTAGATTTACATGCAGGGATTGTCTGGGAATGTGAGGTGTGTGTAGCCCAGACAGAAAGAAATCTGGACTCCAGATTTGAGCTTTGGCATTATGAACAGAGAGACGTGATCTTCACTTGAGCATAAGAAGGATGGACTTCTATTTCAATGGCCTTTTCAGCACTTTAACTTGCTTTGTTGTTCTATACGCTGAGGGTAAGGCTGTGGTTATATGCATCGTTAAAATTATTTAAAAACTCAATTGTAAAAATATTTGTTATATTACATTTTGTTTTTTTCACTATGATTTCACATAAAACTGTTTATTTTGCACTTAAGTTCCAAAAATGACAAAATACTGAGATTTTTTGAGTATTTAATTAATACAAAAATAGGCTTTACTGTGGTTGTTTCATAGATGGTTTATTTATTGAAATGCTAGAAAAATATATAGTATTCATTTGTGATGTATCGTTGTTGAGATATCATTTTAATAGTATTTTGGCCATATCGTCAAGCCTTTAGTTTAGAGATACATTTTGTAAATAATTTCCCTTTCTTTATTTAACTGTTTTTGATCTTCATGTATTTCCAGGAAGTTAAATATAATCTATAAACTCTCTTTAAGCATACTATAAAGTATGTGTGCACAGAGTGTTCATTCACCCACATCACACTCTCATGCAGGCCTGCACAATGGCACGATGAACTTCAATAATACCATCTATTCTCACACCATGTTCACTAAAAAGCAGAGCATCCGTCCTGCCATGCGCGCTCTCAGGTGTGCTCCAAACCTATGATCTCATCTTTCACCGATGCGCGCCCCCTCCTCACCTTCAGCCCCCTGATCTCGTTCAAGTGCAGCTGGAGGCTGCGATTGACCTCTCGGATGAGATTCCCGTGGTCCAGAATCACGCTCATCTTGTCGGCCTCGGACCGCCTCAGCCGCCGCACCAGATCCTCCTTGCCCCACTTGAGCAGCTCCTCGTCGGTCAGGCCGGAGACGTCCTCCGCCGGACTTTCCGTCTTCGCTATCGACAGCTGGAGCTGGGGCTGGGGCGGCGGCGGAGTTGCTTTCTCCATTGGCACGGCTCCTCCGGCACCGACAAAGAGCAGAAAATAGTCCGAGGCTCGTTGGCAACGTCTGCTCGCATCCGCTCCCTGGTCGACTTGAGGTGTAAAACGGTTACCGGCAGAAAGTCAGTCGCATAGTTTGGCCTTTTTTGTTCAGTTCGCTCGCGACACTTCCACTCTCGGCTAGAGCAACAGCTGACGATGCCGGCTGAGCGCGATACAGTGGGGAAGCTGCTCTGCTGTCTATCACTGCAACATCCTCACAGCCACATTATACAGTGCTTACAGTGTGAGTTATCGTCTCGGTTTTGTATCCAAAATCGGTCCCAAATAAGTGAGAAAAGCTTCCGCGGACAGTGGATGCACACACCTGCCGCCTGTAGGTCCAGCACACTACGAGGGAGAGAGGGGAGAGTCTGCTGTGTGCACGATAGAAACATACAGAGAGAAAGAAGAGAGGGAAGAGCTCTCCCCCTTCTCACTCCCTCTCTCTAGCTCTCTCCCTCCAGGGGTTTATGCTCCACCAAAAGTACAGCTTGGTTACAGCGCCACTTAATGTTCACAGACACTCTAAACAAGCTGTGCGAAATGCTGAGTTCACTTTCACTCTGGCTGTTTTAAGTGCAAGTGGGAAAATGCAGTATTGTTGTAATGTGTTTACCAGGGAAACACTTATAGTATAAACTAAGACTTTAAAAACGTAGGTGCATACAGACTTTAACTTTAATTTCATAGCATATTTCGTTTGTGTGTTTTTTTATAAACTAATACCCATTACCAGATTGTAGGATAAAGTACATTTCAGTTGTTGTCTAACAGTGTTACAATGTTTTATAGTTTTTAAAGTTCAAACTATGGATTTTGCCATAAATATATAATAGGCAAGATATTCTGTTTAAAAAGTGGTGTTGGTGCACACACACCAAAGTCCCAGTTAGTGAGCCAAGCCTTGAACGCAGCACAACCATCAGTTTCCAGCAGTTAACTCCAGCACCATGGACAGCTGTTAATGGGAGCAACAAGGCTTTGGCTTCAGATATATACACACAGTAATTCTGTTAACAACACACAGCAGTGTGTACGTGTAGGTTACCATGTGTTACCTTTTTCTGAAGGGATGTTATTACTGGGAGCAAGGGTGAGCAATAATTGTTAAGGCTGATAGGAGTAGTGATACAACCCCTGTTTAGTGAAAGATTTAAACGTGCCTCAACTGTGTGAAAGAATTATGTGTGAGTTTGTCAAAGTACTGTGTGTTTACTTTTGTTAAGAAACAAATGCACATCACAAAGCGTATCATATTTTTTAAGATGATGATATCGATTAATTAATGAGTTGTGCAGAGTTATGTGGAGTGAAGCTTTATTATTAAGTATGCCACTTAATTAAATCATACACCAAAGAAGGGTTTAGCATGAAGCCTCTTGTAAAATAAAAATACAATTAGTTGTAGTAAAGTGTATTTATGTTCTATTTCAGTAACATTCAAATGATTGCTTTAGAGTAAAACGTATGAGTATGATATTCTCTTCTAAGCGCCTACAGAGTAGAAATAGACAATATAAATTATGCAGCTAAAAAAGGCTACAAGATAGTAGGTCCACTTATGTGAAGCCTATTTACACAGTGAATAATTAACTTCAATCTGTAGCCTTGTGGTCGTTTGGGATTAATCACCTATCTAGTAGCCTACTCCACGTAACCAAGAGGTGAGATAGCAAAAAGTAAAAAAACTATCACAATGGTCTAATCACGTTTTATCAACAATGATAACTTCAACAAGCTCCTTGCAAATGCGATCGTTTCCGTAAGCGAATACTTTAAACTCAATGTCCCACAATTCCCCTCTTCCCATGCGCACACAGAGCACGCCCTAGTCACGTCACGGAGAGAACAGCCAATAGGAATCGCCTGAATTTGGAGTAACACGTCATTCTAGTAAAGTGCAGCAGGAGCCGGCTGACAGGGAGTGATCCCCTCACCATCGTCTTTCTGTCATTTACATCCGTCTGCTTGTATCTCCAAATGTTGTAATTTTCACCGAAAACACCTGTTTGCTTTGCTCGTGTCTAGACCTGAGGCCAACCTAACATAAAAGGTAAGCTTTTGACTTAAATTTGCTCGAAAGTAGGCCACCCGTTTCGGCTGCCATTCATGAAGGGACAGGAAGTGGGCTAATGCTACATTCCGTTAGCTAGCCCAAGCAACGAAACGTTAGCTTGTTTGACTGACAGAGCAACGTAATAATGTTAGACATTAACGGGTACCGTTATATTCATGTGGTTTCGATAACACCACGGTTACAATACTATAAAGTATGTCAGAAACAGCGTAAGAGTGGATATTCTACACGAAAGAGACCAACCTCATTTGTGATTATACGTGGCCTGTAGCCTATGTTATTGCATTAAAGGTAATACTATTTTTTTTAAAACGTTAAAAAAAAATATCAATCATTTCTAAGATGTAATGAAATGTCAAGGTTTGCCTCTACCTATCCCTAGAAAGTGTAATGACAAATTGCCAAATACCCCTTGACAACGTCAACGTGCAACAGATATGGCAGGGCAAAGCTCACATTCTCTAAGAAAAACATTGAATACAGGGAAACTGACTGGTTGTTTATGATCTATTATGATTATATTGTTTTATGTTGAGGGTCTTTTTCTGGCCATAAGTCTAAAATGAACATCAAAACTCTCTCAAATGGAGAACTTGAAACAGTACATTTTTGGCCTTGATTATTATATTACAGGGCTAATACAAAACACTGTGGATGGCAATGGTCTTTAAAGCTTAATGTGACATTAATTCGTCTCTTATCTTAGGTCAGACAACTGTGACCTGCAATAACTTAATGTAACATTATAAATCTTGTGTGACAAGTTGATTACGTAACAGATTATCAAGTTAGATTGCCAAGTCTTATCAAGGGAAAACTGCAAAGTGTCCTAGTTCCGTCTTGTGTGGTCTTACATTCAATGTTATCCGTTGTTGGACTGTTGATTAGACAAAACAAATGCTTTGAAGATGTCACATTGGACATCTATAGAATTAACAATGGGGGAGATAATTGGATCCTTGGATAAATAGATCCTTTTAGAAATATTTTAGAATCAGAATGTGGTTTATTGCCAAGTAGGTTTCACGTATAATATAGTAGCTTATGGTAAAATGTTGCGAACACACTTAGAAAAAATAAGGAGAAATATTATGTAAACATATTTCTAAAATCGAAAACAGGTAAACAAGAAAAATTCATTTACAAAAACGATATACAATTTGAAAAGCATATCTGCATTCACTTTGCAGCCTTGCCTAGTACACAGTTGTGTAACCTACAGAAATATACATCATATTATATGTTCTGAATCTTAAGAGTTCTTTGAGAGACTTAAAAGATTGGAAACTTTTGTTTTGCCCCTTGAAAACTAGCTGAAATGCTCTTGTTTTGCCCAAGGAACACAAAGTTACTCTGACAACAGTGAGAAAGAGGGCGAGTCGACAGCCACTACATCAGCTTCTTGGTGACGCTTCTCTAAAGGCATCATCGATATTTCACTGACACACGCCAACAAATATGTAGCCTAAAAATATCTTTGAGATTCCTCTGCGCTATTTTCCATCTCACGAAAAAACACGCTTGTCAAGTTTGCTGATGTCACACGTCTGCGTCATGCTATCTTGAATCTGCATCTTATTTTAGCATGGGAGGGAAGGAGCACCTGTATAAAGAGTGGCTCACTGTAGCAAGAGGTTAGACTAGCAGAAAGATCACCTGTAAAGAGCTGCTCACACACTGCAGACACTCAAAACAAGTGTCACTGGGACTACTGAGAGTTTCTCTATTGGACTTATACCTGACTGTGATCTATTGGGCTCTTTCCCTGCTGAAGCTCTGCGATGGCGACCTACCAGGAGTTCATCCAACAGAACGAGGACAGGGATGGGGTGAGATTCAGCTGGAACCTGTGGCCCTCCAGCCGCCTGGAGGCCACCAGGCTCGTGGTGCCCGTCTCCTGCCTCTTCACACCGCTAAAGGAGAGGCCCGATTTACCGCCGGTCCAGTACGAGCCGGTGCTGTGCAGCCGGGCCAACTGCAAGGCCGTGCTCAACCCCCTATGGTGAGTGAAATGGAAAACATTGCAACAGATGGGAACTTTTTCAATGTTTGTTTCTGCTGCCAAGCATAAAAAACGGTCTTTATACAAACCGCATTGTGTATAATAAAGATATGTTGCATTCTATTTAATTCTTTATGATTATCAACCTTTCATTTGTAGATGTAGCTTTCTTTAATAAATGAAAATGGTGTTTAACCTGCTGTGCCAATGCCTTTTGTAGCTCTGTAACTATAAGTACATTCATTTATTATTGATCAACAGAAGAAAAAAAAAATTGTAATATTTCTTGCAAAATCAGAGACAGCTATTTTCATTTTCCAACATTTTTTTATTAACCTGAACATGTTTGGGTTTTGGACTTCTAAAACAAAACATTGAAAAACATGAATTTGGATTAGTAGAATTTAGGAATGGATTTTTCATTTTCTGACATTACATAGACCAAGCCAAGCGAACCTGGGAATAAAATAAATTAATAATTGAATCTATAAGAAAGTTGGGCCAAGTATTGGATAATGAAAACAATCTTCAGTCGTAGCCTTAGTCTAGTGAACACTATGTTTTTTTCATTGTAGTATTCCTTAAGTAAAAGAAAATGGCTTGCAGGGATATGAATTATGTGTTTGAAACTTTGAATATATTTGACCACATCAGCGTTTCCAAATGCTGATGTGTTACTAATTCAAGGCGTGGTACTGCAAATACACCTTCAGTATTTACTTAATATCATTCACAGCTGCACTCCTGCCAATTGGATGCAAGCCCTAAACTGTTTTGTTCTCTCCTTCACAGCCAAGTTGACTTCAGAGCCAAAATATGGGCGTGCAACTTCTGCTTTCAAAGGAACCCAGTAAGTGCTGACGTCCACAGCTTACTTTAATTCGATAACAATTGTTTCCATAACTCTGCGTAACATAGTAACATACAGTAATGTGGACTAGCTGCATTCCTTTTATTCATGTGGTTCTGTCTTTGTCTCCGCAGTTTCCTCCCTCTTATGCAGGAATATCAGACGTGAACCAGCCGGCTGAACTCATGCCACAGTTCTCTACCATCGAGTACATAGTGCAGGTAAATATTACACATGTCTGCACTCTGACCCATGCATGCAGATTGTGTGTTCTCCAGGTGTTCCGTGCCAAGGGGAATAATAACGATTTCTGATATTGGCCTCTCTACGTGAAGAGTTTTCTTTTAGTCAACCACCTCCCCCCCCCCCCCCCTTCACGACCGCATCTGCGGTCACCGAAGCCCTGATAAGCACTGTGTGTGTACAAAACGCAGCAAACACTGACTGATATGTGCTGGGTCCAGGCTCAAGG